TATTATTCAATTATTAAATAATAATTTTAATACTTTAAGACGAGAAATCTTAAACCATTAAATCTGGAAACCTTTCAATTGCTTCATAGTTTTTAATTCAGTATAATTTCCAATAATGAAATACCTAATGAGTTAAATCCAACATGCGTTGATCCTACCCCATCTTATAAATGATATAGTTCTGTTTGTCATAGTTTTTGTTGGTACGAATGTAATCTTAGAAGCGTTCTATATATTTAGTTTTTATTTTTCACTATTAATGGATCTTTAACTATAAAATACTTATATTACATAATCTCAGTTTGAAATGAAAATAATATACCGAAATAATGTTTATTTTCGTCTATTAATTTTATTATTTCTTTAAATGAAACTATGTCCAATGTATAGAAAAAATGTCACTGCTTACAACGGGCAGAACCAGGATTCATCAACTGTAACCATCAAAAATTTTACAAACTTTTTATCGAATTGAAGAATGTAATTTACAGGGTGGAGCAGCTGGTTTCTGTATTTCTTTTTGCTCCAACAATCTCTATATAAATGGGCTCAATATAGGCTATAACTTACTCATTTGGAGTCAGTATTTAAAGCGATCACCATAGAAAATCAGTATTGAAGCTAAATTTTCTCTTGAATGGCTGAATTGCTCTGAATGGTATTTATAATATACAGTAATCTCTATGTAAAATAACCGAATATACGAATAGAAAAGCTGATCAAGAATATTATTATTTTGTTTCCTATCAATATTCAAACATTTTGACGAACTCAATTTACTATTTTTTTCAAACCAATATAGTATAACGGGTATAATGTTTCATAAAAAACGGTTTCTCAACTTTTTTTGTGGTTCGTACTACTTAAGTTTTCAAGAAAGTTCTATGCTTCCTTCAAGTCTTTAAAAATGTTTTGTGTTTCCTTTATGTAGTATACACAAGGATCTCTCAGAAAAGCTGATCAGATATGTCTATCCATATCTTTTTGTTTTGCTTGTACAACCTTTTATAAATATCACTTTCTAAATACCCAAAATATATTTTGCCTTCAGTATAATTTTTTAATACTGTCTGCTATTATACTGTTTTTTTAAAGTTCTGTTTCTGTTA